AGGGGCGGTTTTGCTTATTCGGTGCAGCTAGCATAGCAGTCACGAGGCCGCCAGTGCTAGTCCCTGAAATCACATCAAAGTAATCCGCAAGCCTTGCATCTGCACCATCCAGCTTCTGTAAATTTGAATAGAAAAGCTAATCAGTGATACAAACAAGAGATAAAACTCTGTGCGTGTGAAAAATAAACAACCATTACAATTCTATATATAGACACATATTGATGCATGTAAAACTATTTAGTGTTAAACTTACGTCATGCGTTCAATTTATTTTTCTTTTATTATATATATGGTCATGTACCCGAAAACACAAAAGCACGCAACATCTTGCATGTCTATTTGACATGCATAAATTAGTATACGTGCTAAAAGAGCCCGTTTTCTTTTCTACCTGAAGCTCAGACTCTAAAAAGGCAAGGATAGTTCCTGGTATAATGCCTCTTATTCCACCTCCATCGATGCTGAGAACAGTGATGTGGTTTCCACGAGTTGGAAGTTGAAGGGGAGATCTCGGAGTTTGCATGTTGGCCATTTTAAAAAACAAATGCTGAAAATGTAATGAGGGAATCAAGAGAACTAGTAAGTGGAAGAGGTTTAGCGTAAACTTTCTGGGAGCTTGATGAGAGATCGCTAGTATGCTCAAATGCAGTTGAAGTGTTGTAACCTTGCAATCTGCCAGAGGGGGATGCTGAGGTATTTATAGACTCCTAACCCTTCATGGTGTATGGAATTTTCAACAAATTCCCGATACTTAGTCACCCAAATTTGACCATTCTGTAGTTTCCTGGATGGGCCGGGAACAATTTTGAATGGATCCAACTTATCTGTATTTATCACTAACAATTCTTAGCTGACACGGTTCACGTTGGACCACTTACAAATTGGGTCCAAGGGTACAATTGAACATTCCAAATTCTCAAATCAAAGAAAGCAGACACTAAAATTAGAATGGCAGGTATTTTGCTGGCACGAAGTTAAATAAGTTAGTTGATGAAGATCATTAGTGCAACTGGTTGGATTTGAACATGTTATTTCCCCCAATTTGATTCCTAATGGCCATTAAGGTTTAGTTTAATGCTTTCTTTTGGTTCACGAGTTCAAGCAACTATTTTCGAAGAAACAACTCCTGTTAGCATCAAAATGGGATTTTGTATAAGTTATAACCAAAGGCACCGACGAATTCATGTAAGAAAAAGCCGAGACTAGTTCATCTCCATTATTTATTCGAACTTTATGATTTTCCAATGGCAAACTTTATGATTTTCCAAAGGAACTTCTTTTTGATGAAATTACTTTGTCGAGGTTTACTATATCATTGAAATCACCTTTAAGGATAGGACCTCAGATTTTTAATAGCTTTGTGGGTGAATCCGTGAAAGAACATAAAGAACAAATTACGGACCAAGCTTCATGATACGTGTCTTAGCCGATGACCGATCAAACAAAACCATGAATAGAATATTGCATTTACGGAAAATTAATTTGATTGTCGATCACACTTAGAATGTGCGTGTGATTATCAATTTGCTCCTTTCGACTTTTCATTACATCGTCACCTTCCAAGCTTCATTTTGTTTGCGTCTATTGAACATTTTCTGAAACACAATGGAGTAAGAAAATATACACATAGTTAGCTTCAAGAAAATTAATATAAAAAGAATGATCTTAATCATGACGGATGTGAAGATGATTCTTTGACAAACATAGAATGAAAACCTATCAATTGTATTTGAATCAACATTAGGGAGTCTATATTAGTATAACAAAATAATTTTCTTTTTGTTTATAAATTTAAAGAAGAACTGGAATAAATACGGAGTTGATTGGATAGTAATTAGTTCTTAAGTTCTTCATCATTCTCACAACACATTTTGGTGTATGAAATTTATTATCATACAATTTAAAAACATCATTCAAAAAGTTAATTTAGGTTATTCCTTGAACTAACAAACTAATTATGAATGTTTTTTTTTTTGGCAAGACATAGCCGCTTCAATTAATTTTTTAATATTATTTTTTCTATTTTATGAGACCGTCGCCTTTTACGAATTGAAATTTATATATTTTGAAGTCGGATATTTGATTCATTATTTAGGATTTTAATCGAAGCATATGATTTCAATGTGCTTGATTAACAAGAAAGTGCACCAATCTAATAAAGAAATATATATTTTCAATCCAATGGAATTTCTATCATTAACTAGCATTTGTTTATGTCACTAGTGTGTAGTATTAATAGTAGCAGTAAAGCTTGCAATTCTCAATATTATATTGGAAAGGTTGCTCCACGGACACGCTCATTCCTTGCAAGGATATTTATAAAGGGTGAGATATGTTGTGATGTTGGTTGATAGAAAAAACATTAAAAGAAGACCTGGTTTGCAAGAAAAAAATGGAGATAGTTGGGAAGCTCGGAAGATCGATCAATGGTAGAACCCACACGGTTTGTCATAAATTCACCAGTGACAAACAATGTGAGGGGACACCCAGGACATGTCTTTTTGGATCCTGCTTGACCTTGTTTTTTAATGTTCTACGGATTTTGGACATTTACTTGGAAATTACAAGGCACTGGGGATGTTTTTTTCCAACAAAAACTTGAACCACATATTTTGGTTTTTGAACAAAACGCTTTTTTTCTGGTTACTAATTTCAGATTTCAAACAGCATCTTAGAACTTTCATGGTCAGCTAACCTTTCTTCCTTCGTCAGTATTGTAGATACTCTTTGAATTGGTCATAGTAACTAGATGTTTTGCTTTCTGTTGATTTTTTGGATTATGGCACTGAAATGTATGGCAAGCTCCTAGCTGGTCTCTTACAGCAGGTGTGAATGTGTGTGTGTATATATATTATTCTTTCTAGTCAACTAGCATTTTTTTTTTCTAATTGCATGAATAAGGAAAATGCCACTGAAACTCAGCGATAAAATTATTGATGGAGAGTGAAGTGGGTAAAATTTTGTTTGGTGTGCATTGTCCGTATATAAAACCATCAATAATTTGTCAAGTGTTGAAACCTTGTAATCTCTCAAATGGGGAAGTGGAGGTATTTATAGACCTCTAGTCCTTCCTGGTGTATGGAATTTTCAACAAATTCCCAAGATTTTAGTCACCCAAATTTGACCATTTTGTTGCGTTTTGATTGGGCCGGGAACAATTTTGAATGGATCACTATTTTAACAGTTCTTAGCTGACAATGGGTTCAAGTTGGATCACTTGGAAATTGGGTCCAAGGATACTATATAAAATTTGAAGAAACGCAAGTTGGAACATGTTGCAACATGGAAGTTTCTCCTTGGCTATACATCAATGACAAGTCACAAATTTACAAATGCTAAATTGTTACAATTGTCGCCATTGTCGCAAGTTGGAACATGTTGCAACATGGAAGTTTCTCCTTGGCTATACATCAATGACAAGTCACAAATTTACAAATGCTAAATTGTTACAATTGTCGCCATTGTCGCAAGTTGGAACATGTTGCAACATGGAAGGTTCTCCTTGGCTATACATCAATGACAAGTCACAAATTTACAAATGCTAAATTGTTACAATTGTCGCCATTGTCAATTTTCATATGGTTAAATTTTTCACGTAAAAAATTTAGCTTTATACAACAGTTTAGTCTCAACTAAACAAAGCCACGCCTCAATTTCACTCTTGTCAACTATAATTATGTATTTTGCTTACTAAAAAGGCTTACAGTTAGCTTATCATTAAAAAATAACAAACAAAAGTAAATAAATAGAAAAAATACACATGTACAAAAAAAACTTCTAACCTTTCTTAATCTTATAAATAAAGAATTTATACAATAGAAATGCAATATATAAAGATTGCATGTTATACAACCAATATCTTTCAAGCCTATTTATAAAAAGTATGAAAGATTATGAAACATGAAATTATCTTTCCTACTTTTTAAAAAATACTAGGGAAACTTTCTCTCTCATGTTTTTATAAATTTAGTGAGTGGTTTTGACTTGTGATCTTAATGTCTTGAGGAGAAATTTTAACCTTGCCCTCATAATCTTGACAATTATTTTTTTTATTAAGCCATTACTATAACCGCCATAACAACCTACAATATTGTTGTAATTGTAACCCATAATCTATTTGTTTAATTGTTAGTTCTTTACTAACATTCTATATGTGTTTTGCAACTTTAAAAGGTCCATCATCTAAGTTCATGTTAAGTCGAAAACCCATGACTCGCATGAAACCGATATATGCTACATATTAAATTCATGGTTGCCTAAAATGGATAGAAAAAATGAGTCCTTTGGCACACCCTTATGCTTTAGCCTCTAATAAACCACCTTAACTAAAAAAGTTAGACACCTTTGTTAGAATAGAAGTGAGGTATTCATGTATCTGATCTTTAAAGTGTTATATAAATCTGTTTTCCTTTTACTAAAAACTCACTTCAATAATTCTTCCTTTATTGGCCAAGTCAACGATGATCCATTAATTTAATAATGCTATCTTCAAATTATTCCCTCTCAAAGGGTCATTAATGATTTATAGAAGGGCTTCAAGTAACTTGTATAAGAAGTAAGATGAAGTTCTAACCATTTTGTCAAGATCAACCTATATACAACATCCCCCACTCTTTCCTTCACTTTAAAAGGCTTATCATATCTTGGCACCAACCCTCGATGTTGATTGGTCCCTACAACCTTCTTCCAAATACATGGGGTTAGTTTCAACAATACCTTGTTACCAACGTTGAACTCTAATGGTCTTTATTTTTTATCCTTATACCTTTGCATGCATCTACTTGCCTTGTGCAAGCTGTCTTAGGCTTGCTAAAATAGCTTATGTATTTCCTTCACGCACCCTCGCGTGCGGAGCGCGGCGTTGCGGCGACCAATCATTGATTTTGGGGTCTCTTAGTTTTATTTATGTGTA